GAGAACAGACTTGTCTGGCAAAGTCCAGGTGGTTCCCCCTCTCCACAGAGCAAACCTCAGTGTGAATGTGAAAATCATTAACAAAATCCATATTGTTATTGTTACAGTTCTTTCTGCTGTGATAAAGCATGGGAACCATTCTTCTGGCTCTGCTGACAGCATTCTGCTGGATGCAGAAAGGCCTGGCGGCCCATTGCACTGTCTTCTATTGAACTACTGGGTGGTCTAAGGAAATATAGTCTCATCTAGAGTATATGACAAAGTAACATGAATAGTAAAAGAGGATGAGAACTTTATTATGGGCACTGATGAACAGTGTGGTCTGGGAACACTTGGATCCAACAACAAAGATTCCGGAGGCTCAGCACTCACAGGATTATTCATTTGCTCGTACCTTCTTTCTGTTCCTTCCAGCCAGTAACGTATGTGAGGAGATACATTTTATTTGATCTCAGACTAGAATAGATAGACTGTCTGACAAACAGCTACAGCACACACAGAGCTGAACTGTCAGTCAGCACTCTCTGCAAATAAAACGCCGCTGCCACAAATAATGTGCCGAGAAAAGCATGTAGACCAGTGGAGAAGTGTCTTTCAAGTAGCTCTGGCTCAAACAGACACTATGACAGCTCAGTCATGACACACCCATGTGCACACACGTGCACGCACACATGTCTACGGCGCTCATTGGGAGCCTTTTACCAGAGTCTTTGAAGTGAGCTGCAGTGTTTACGAGAGAGGCTCTCCCCTCTCAACAAGAGCCAGCTTTCCAAAACAGCCTCCTTGGTAACCTGGAAGCTGGCTTCAAGGGAAAAACTACAGTGGGCCAATATACAGTCGGCCACCCGCTCTCACCATGCACACACATGCACACTTAACGCAAAGAAAAAGATTTCACAAGTCACTGTGAAAAGCATTGGTCAAAGAGTTCAAAGCTGGTGACATTTTTAGTGCTGGAAACAATTTTTTGCTTCCAGGCGTGTAATAGAGTTGTGTAAACCATGTTAAAAGTGCACTGTTTTAGGACAATATATCTGCCTTGTAAAGAATAAAGCAGCTGTTTTTGTCTGTGTTTTCTTGTTGTCAACAAATCCCATAAAAAGAACAAAACCAATTTTTTCTGAAGTGGCACATACGAGATTCAAGAGAATTCGACACGCTGTTGGCAGCTGCTCTATTAATATTTTCTACTTGTTTAGAAAATATTCTAAACAACAAAGTGGTACTTGACGTTTCACTGTCTGAAATTCTTTTTTTTTTTACTCTTTGGAAACATTTTTACATGTTTGTGAACAAAAGCTTCCCCCACAAGGAGCAGAAGAGACAGCCTTATATGGACATTTTTGGGGCGTCGATAAGGATAATGATCAAATCTCACAAACTCGCACCTCCTCGTGAACAGGTGACATTCATCAGGCTGAAACAAACTATTTACTACATGTTTGCCTGCAAGAGAGTTGGTTGAATCCTACTTGAAACACTCATGCGAAAAAGCCTCACAGAAAAACGCAACAAAAGTTTAGGATAAGAATACGAACATTTGTTTTTCAATACTTTTTGACTCTACCCTGTACGTGGCACTCAAGCCCACTGGTTCCTAGGCAAGTTCATCTTTAAAAACAGCTCACAGATATTATAGGTTATAAGTAATTTCCTAAACAAGCTGGGGACTGTAGTTTAAACAGAAGTTAATAATGCATTTGTTGGGCACTATTAGGAGGATTAACTCACATTTAAGATTTTTCAATGGAATTTGTTGGCAATAAGAAAAAGAGCGAATATTAAGAGCCTTATCCTTTAAATTACCAATAACTGAGAGTTAGGTTCTCGGCCTTTAAGTGGCCTCCAAGGTCCTTACCTTCAACCTTAGGCTTGATTTCAGCTAGACGCTCTGCAAACTTCTTCTTAAAGAACAGAGCTTGCAGTCTCTGCTGGTAGTGGTCAATTCTGATGAAGGGAAGAAAGAGGTAAAAGGAGGAGAAAAGGGGAAGAAACAAAAAGGGAGGTGGGTTACATTTGTCTACAGGGGAGTGTAAGTTCAAAGCTAGAAGTCACCCAATTGTACAAAACTCCCTCTCTCGGTTTTCACAGGCCTTTTATCATCTAATAGGCTCCCATCAAGTTGGAGAGTTGACAAATGGGTACGTTAAACTTGCCAAAATGTTCACTTGGGGAGGGAGCAGGGATTTCAAAGAGGGACCGGGGATATTAAATGGCGAGAAAAAAAAGGAAATAACTAAATCCCAGATGTATTCCTCAGACCAAAGGAGATGCGGTCAAAAGGAAAGAAAGTGGACAGGGTAATATTTCACTGAAGGAAATGAAAAGGTTTAATTATCTTGTATAAACAGTGCAGATTCTGAGAAAGGATGGAATGCAAAACAAAAGAGGCAGCGATTTAAAGCGTCCCCACCCTCTGATGTGATGGCAGTCCTCAGAGGGCAGCCATGACTTATTTTCTTAGCTAAAGGATGAATCATACTAAAGTTCAAGGCTTGTTCTTGATCCCAGCATTCCCATGATGCTTTAGAAGGTCATTCCGTTTGAACAGACATTGTGCTTTACAATATTTTAGGATTTACTTGTGGGTGACAATCTACAAGTTGTTGTTGTGCAGTTTAAAAAATCTGTTCAGACATGCAAACATTACATCTGTTTTGTCACGCAGACACTGACTTTTGTGTAACTCATATAAATTCATCACCATATCTCACCAGTCCTGCACATTACAGATCTGTGTGATTCAATGCTTTGCTGATGGTTTGGCTGCACTAAAAAAAAACATATAGTACACCTCAGAAACCAGATACTGAACGCACACATGTATAAAAGTGTTATACAGTAACTTAGACCTGTTTACCTGCTCATTTCAAAGAGGAAGCGATCAGCCCGGGCCATCCGCTCCAGCTCATGTTTGTGCTCCTCCAAGAGATCGATGTCACTTTTCTCTGGGACAAACTTCAGCAACTGCAAAGACGCAAGAACAATGTTATTCCAGATGCAAATGCATTTGTCTGTGGAGCAAACTGAAATGTATAGTACTGAACCTTTTTCAGGAAATGTGGTATTAAGTATTCTTTGAATGTTGATTACCTTTACTACTTTAGCTGTAATATTTGGTTGTCGCAATAAGGTTGTTTATTTTATGCTTCCTTGTCAGAAATAAATAAAATCTACAATATTACTTCACCTGGGCCAAGTACTACCCAGCTACATACTGCATATACATGATCATACATCAAACACTGAACCTTACCTGCTCCAGCATATCTTTGGCTAGCTCTTCCCTCTCATCCATCTCTAGGATCGCTCTCTTGATCTCTTCATTACTCATTTTTAACCTGCAAAAGAAGAAAATGGTTTATTGAATGTTTCTTGAATTACATTCATTCATTACATGCAATTCATTGCCATATTACAGACAGAAAACTGTGAGTGAACTTATACCAATACTCTGAATACTGGTCTAGACCGGCATCAAGTGCCGCAAGCACTGCCAGCTGTTTTCAGTGCATCTGATCAGTGTTAAGTGTGCTGGGTTGTGATCAATAACACCATTGTTAGTCTGTGCATCAGAGACTTATTGACCAACTGCTGACCCCATTTGGGTCTAGTTTGCACCCTCGGGTCATTTACTATTGACACGAGAGTGAGCTCAGGGACCATGCTGCTGTTTTGTCAGACAGTGAAAGGTCTCAGGAAGCCTGTTTATTGATCTGTAAAGTGGGGTTAGGATTCAAATTCCCCAATGGGCTTTGGATCAGGAGACACAGGCATACAAATGGTAACCATATTGTCGAGTGGATCTTAAATGATGACAACTGATTCCGGTTCAGATTTAGTGGGCCTCAAAGCCCCTTGGGAGGAGGGGGTCAATTTTATGTGTCCTAATTTATTCTTTATGACTTATTGTGGAGACTGATAGTACTTGAATGTTTCAAATTAGACAAAAACGTGAACACTACTCGAGAGATTTATGCTGACCTGGACAATGATTTCAATCTGTCATATGACTCAGTTTGTTCTTCTTTTCAAAAAAGTGTATGCATGGTAATTCAATTACACTGGCAGATGTCCTTGTGTGTCCATTAAAAACACATTTCCTGTGCCCGACATAAGAAGCACCTGTTTTGAGCAGCTCCACACTGAGTTATAGCTCCAAACCCTGACCCAAAGGTCACTTACTTCTCAATAGCTCACAATCAGGGCATCTCTCCAGAATTATAATGGAATTAACAGATAATTACTAACTGTTCACTGATCTGTTCACTGATGGTACAATGTAGCAGAATTAATCATTCTGGCTGGGACCCTTACTTTGAAAGCAGGATGACACAATTCTGTGCACGTCTACCGTCAATGACCGACAGCTCTTTGACTTTCCGTGTGCTGACGTATATGTCATCCATAGAGCCCGTCTCTTTCTGCAGAAAAATAAAGACAAAAAAACTGAGTAACTCTGAAACATAGTTTCACTGAGAAGAGTGCTCAGAGAAAATACAAAGCCTGCAAAATGAAATGTGTCCTCCTCACATCTGTTTGACATTTTTATCTTGTTGAGAGATGACATGACCCCCTCTAAGCATTTAACAATGCGCTAATTTGGAGCAGATATTTAAAAAAAAAAAAAGACTTCAAAAAACTCAAAAGAACCAAGGCCAGTTGTTGCAGTTTGATCACTGCCACTATCACAGTGCACAGACTAAAAGGTTGCACTCCAGCCAAATACTTTAGCTGGCCTCAGGTCAAGTTCCCTGACCTGCTTTTGCAGTCACTGACTACATGCATCAGTTCTCATGGGCCATAATGCACGTCTCATTAAAAATGATAAAACCCTAGACTGAATTGTGGAAGGTATATGAAAATTTTAGAAGAAAGAATAGAATGTAGAATTTTTTTTGAAAAGTCAAAAATTCATGAGTCACCACTGCACAATGCAGGCAGGCCTATAAACCTATCAGAGGAACTGGAAACACTCTTCAAAACTCAGTTCAGGCGGGTCAGATATTTTTGTAAGCTTCACACAAATGTAGTATTAAAAATCTACAAGGGGAAAGAATACACGTGTTAAAAAAAAAAAAGACTGGTCAGGGCTGCATGTTAAACACATTCTATTTACGGTCCAAACTTGTTTCCTGCTTGCCAGAAAATGTCCTTTTTGAGGTTGCTGGCTATGACGTATGTAAAACAGATGCGGCTTGTAAAAAAAAAGTGTCGTTTTTCCATGCCTGACCCACGGTGCCTGGCAGCAGAGTGAGGTTGGCACTGGGTTAGGGGGACAACTCCCATTTGCTGGGCCTGCCAAAACCCCTACTGCCCACGCGTTAAAGGCAAATTTGCCAACTTGTGTATGGCATGTGCACTGACTGTGTGTAAAAGGAGACTTGCCCTTTCATATTTTATACAAGTTATTAAGTGCCTTGATTGAAGAGTGGTCAGGTGTTTGGACTATTTTGTTAATCTTGTGGAAGGCAACATGGTTGAGATTTTTTAATATTTAAATGTAGGCTTTTCCTGTTCAGGTCATGATGATATATTATGACAATTAAGGCAATGGAAGAAGATGATGGTGATCATGGTAATCAACACAATAACTAAGATGAACATAAGGTAATGATGATGAAGATTAATGCAGCATTTAAGTTAGGGTTTTCTGAACCTCCACTGAGGGAAACTGGCCAAGTCTATATCCAACCAGTTATGCACCTTCTTCCATTCCATTGACCACATACTCTACACTGTTATTTCATACAGTGGTGAAACTCAAGTCTTTAAATGTGCAGACACAGAGCAATATTAGCATCTATTTGGAGTCATGTTTCTGGTGACATGACAAGCGCAAGTCCAATATTTTACCTTCCTCCACCAAGCTCTGCTTTTGGTCCCAATCCACCATCTGGCGTTTTAGTTGCTAAGTGCTTCACTATGTTCACCAGCTAGTTCCATGAACACTGGGTTTTTAGTACGACATTATGAGACTGGTGAGAGTGAACCGAAACAAGAAAGTTACAAACCAGACGGCAAAACAATGAGCTAAAAAACGCTCTAAATCTCTTTTTTCAGTCGTCCGTCTCACACATGTTTTATTGGAACAGATATGCTTCTATTTTAATCAGTCCAGCGGCAGGCAGCACAGGCTGCAAAACAGCCAACATATGGGTGACCTACAGCTCAATATTGGGTCTGAAAACTTCCTGTGTAGAAACACAGAGTACTGAAGAGTCAGGAGAGAATTCTCTGTGGGTTCAACATTACAGGCAACTGCTTTCACATTACATATAGTTATCTGACCTTGTGTTAATATTAAAATATTGATTAGAGCTGCTTTAACATTAAGATATGCAAGATGGAGGGTCATACATCCCAAAACTCTTTAAAAACAAACAAACAAACAAACAAGAAAATGTGATCACTGTGTTTACATCCTACAAGTAACACATGGCTGCTGTATTGCAGAAGAGAAAGTAGAGCACAGAAGGTGGATAAAAATGAGATAAAGTTGCTGGAAGACCTTTAACTTACCTGTTTGAAGGATTGGTTAGTGAGCAGGTCCTGCCCAGGCAGTCGGAGAGTGCAGAGAGAGACAAAAAAATTGAAAACACATGCAAAGATTAGCACTTCAAGCAGAAAAAGTGGTGGCTAGAGCAAAGAACTACAACTATGCAGACTACAAGCTGAAGCTGGGAAGACCTTCCGTGGGGAAAAAACAATAATAATCTACTGTCCAAGTCAACATGGGCTCATGGAATCTACATTGAAAGTGTGAAATATCTCTGAGCTGCATAGGTGAACAAAAAGGCGATTTTGGTTTCTGTATTTTTAAAGAGGTCATGGTTGTTATAATGTATTCTTCTGATTGCATCTACATCTGTCTTGACATGGAAAACAAGAGCATGAAAAATGTGCGCGGTAACTAATCCTACGGGGGGCGAATGTAAACAAAAGCTCGTTTTGAAAGAAAGAGCAATGACAAGCTTAAATAAACATTGCAGTATTGTCCGGTTGAACTGAATCTCGCTCTTGCCAAATGGAACCGAGTTGTCAAAGCCAGGAAGATCTCAGGTTTTTATGTGGCCATATCCATAGAGATCTGCATTTAACCGTTCGGCCTGCGCCAGTAAAAACCTGCTCTGTATAAATAAATACCCACAGTAAATCACTGTCAGCAACAACCTCAAATGACCCATTACTCTTTAATAAAAGCCTGAAAAGAGAAGTTGTGCTTTTAGCTGTCAGAAGGCTTTTAAGCATGGCAGTAAAATGCATTATAAAAGGAATTACACAATGGTAATCTGTAGAGGTTAAGTATTGCTTCTATTGAGCCTGAAAGACCTTGCTTTAAAATGTGATTACTAGAAACTCATTAGGGCATATTAACTTTCCACTTAAACTCATTTGAGGCAGAAAAATATATCAATTTATGAAACTGCACACTTGACAAGTGGTGTGTAATTAAGAGGGAAGTAATTGCTATGTAGTGTATGGTATCGCCCCAAAAGCATGCATACTGCAATTATCCTATTAGTTAGTTCCTGGTTCAACATGGTTTAGTCAATTGCTTCTTTATTTTAGTGTTTCAGTGCCAAGTTCCCTGTATCGTGACTCCTCGTGACTCCAGCGGTGTTGACTGTTTCCTCTGTGTTGTCCTTACCCATGAGCCCCTGATGACCCAGCCAGTTCCCCAATTCTCACACAAGTGCTTTGCAGATACAAGGGCAAAGCTCAAGCTCTGTGGCATCTCTACAATAAGGCATTCAGCAGTGAACAGCTGCTCATGTTAGCCTGGAGCTGGACCCTTGTACCCTCAGCCCATCACAGACATACACACACACACACACACACACACACACACACACTCACTTGTACAAACACATTGAAGAATCTAAATTCACTTGCAAACTCTTAAATTAAAACAACAGGTATGTAATGGATTTCTGTGTCTATATGTTGACGCTTGCCAAAACAAACACACACACACACACACACACACACAAACACACACTCCAAGTCATAAAACTGCATTCCTGTATCCCACTTGTTAACAAATCCAAACCTGTTGTCTCTGATAGGCTGAAAACATCTTCTCTATGTCCTTGAGGTCAAGAATCTTGAAAGCTCTCAGGTCATCGATGTCGTTCCAGATGGTGCCATTGATCATGTTCTGAACATGAGTAAAGGGACATAAGGGATTAACATTTAAACACTGACTAACATTGAGGGTACTACTTCTAAATGTTATTCTGCATTACTTGTGTACTGCGTTGTTGTGCGATTACATTAGCTATAAGACCATATCTTTACTGTATACTGCAGAATAATCATGCTCATTATATCATCAGATAGAACTATGTAGATCTGATGTAAAAGCGGAGGGATTTTTTATATATAAGGAACACATGTTCTCATTGTTCTCTCACCTCTCCTAGTTTAGCCCAGTTGAAGGACTTCAACGGATGAGAAGGCTGAGGGATGGACTTGGAGCTCATGGTGGTCGCTGAGTTAAATGAAGAGGGAATGGGAGGAGGCGGGACTCCAAAAATGGGAGGGGCTCCTGGTGGAGGAGGTGGCCCTCCAGGTGGAGGGGGAGGCGGTGGAGGAGGCGGGCAGCTGAATGGTAGTGGAGGAGGTGGTGGAGGAAAGCCAGCCGTCATAGGTGGCGGAGGCGGAGCCATGGGTGCGCCAGGAGGGGGAGGAGGAGGCGGGAAAGACACAGTGCCGCCCTATTGGAGGAGTGATGGAAAATCAAAGACAATGTTATTATGAGTTGACATTACATACATTCGTTTGGGGGTCAACAACAATGTTAGTGGTCCAGCTTGACACACAATAAGTGCATTCAAATTTAAAAGCTAAATTACATCAAAAATAAGCGGAACCCTCCAAAATAAACAGCTAAAAGTATGTTAGAAAGCTACAGATCCTGACAAAATTAGCTTAGCTCTCACAAAAAGAGCATCTTCATCAACTCCAAATTTACTTAGGCTACATGTTGTATTCTTGTTAGCTAGCGAACTAGCTAACAGTACATCAAAAACACCGCTGGGTTTGAACAGTGAACAGGACTTCTGCAATGCAGCTAGTGATTAGCAGTTAGCCCCAAGGCATAAGCTAATGTAAGCTAAGCTCATTAAGCTAAAGAGTCTCGTTTTTTCTCACTACCTGTGTCAAACATGTAACTTACAAGTGCAACAAGTATATATAACAGATTTGGAGTTGTTGGAATGAAGTGTTGACTGTTTCTGCCTTCCCTTAGTGTTTAAGCTAGCCTAAACATACCTTGAACCAATTTTGAAGCATTTTGTAGAAGTGTAAAACTCATTAAAATATAAATGCACATTAATTATATAACTTAGCAATCAGCTACCGGGTTACATTGGAGCACATCACTAACTCATACTGTAAGCTAGTATTAAAAGCAGCACTGCTCACAGCTATGTCACTGATTCGTGAGGACAGGTCCTGGACTTGCTCCCTGGCTGAGCGCAGCTCCACTCCCTCGCGCTGGAGTTTGTCCTTCATCTTGTTCAAAGTCTTCATCATATCCTCCTTCTCCTGGGTCTTGGTATCACACTCCCGCTCCTTCTTCTCTAGTTTAGCTAGCAGCTCTACATGATCTAAAAGGAAACAAATATGATGTAGATTCAGAGGATAAAATGCAAAGAGGAAAAGGTGCATAAAGAGAAGCACATAGTGATTTTTAGGCACATGTATTAAAAAACAGATTGATGGGGGATGCATGATGCATTTGATGATGCATTTTCTCCTTCAACCTGCAGAGAGCAGTGTGTCAAACAAGTTTTACCTTTCCTGAACTTCTCTGCCTGGTCTCGCCATTGTTTCACCTCATTCTCATTGACCAACCTGTAAAGCAGGAGGACAAAATGAGCACAGACACAAATTGACAGATAAACTGAGCACATGCTTGCACATATGGGTCAACTGCAAACCAACCAAGTCAAGCCGGAACACTTTGAGGAAATCCAATCATTGGATTGGAAATCTATTGATCACTGACAATAATTCTTGACTTCCTTTTTGTGAGAGGAGTTCAGATTCATTACCAGCATCAACTGGGTTGATACAGTTTGCTCTATTAAGCTGCATGACAAAACATTAGTGCTAAAATAAATCCTGCAGGGCTGAAATCAATTATATTGAGAGTTATACATTTTGGCACCTGGTTCAGCTTGGGGTTAAACAGGGTTACACAGATGTTCTGAATGCAAGCTCAATTAATGTGAGAAATGACTGTTCCTGTAAATGAGGCAATCATTGGTAGACGTTAAAAATAGGAGGTAAGATATTAAAACTGAATGAAAGAGAAATGATGGATTATCAAATGGAGTGTGTTGCGAAATTAATTTAGATGAAGAGAGATTGGAAAGTGAAACCTTGAGCACTGGTGGAAGCCATGGCTAGAGTTGAGAGAACAGACATGTATTCAGTGTCACTAAACACAGAGTATAAAATGAGAAATGAAATAGAAAGAGCATGAGAGAAGGAAATACTGAACAGGGAAAGTAGGACTGCCAATAAGGATAAAGTCACTTTACCGTGGTAATGATTCACACTTAAATGCTTGTAATCAATTCAAACGAGGAAATCCACAAGGTAATTTAAAAGTAAATTGGTCATTAATCAGATTTAGGTCTCCTTAAGTCTTGTGTTAGTGAACAGGACTGTCTGAACTTGATTACAAAGTCGGTGCTGCTTTAATTACAGCTCCAGTAACACTCCAGCTCATTAGAGCAAAAAGACCCAATCACTTTATTGTTGACTAGTCAAATAAATACCTTTACAAAGCTGTGGAAAAATGTGATTTGTACAAGAGTGTTAATTTTGGGTCAGGCACACGTGTGAGCAGTCAGAGCCGTCGTCATGGTGACCGCAGATGATGAACGACTTTGTCTCCAAGTTGTTTTAACAGTTGTTTTAACGTCCCCCCTCCTCTCCTTCTGAGCCACTGCGGCACGAGACAAACTGTACATTTTCACCCGTTAACCGCCAGGGTCTCCGGCGTGCAGCCAAAACAACAAGGAGAGCTCAGTTCACGCACCCTCTCTCCAGGCATAATTTCCTCTCAGAGAGCTTATGGAAACACAACAAGACTTTGGCAACAATGTAAAGTGAGGGATAGGCTTTGACTGCCGTGATGGATCTGCAGCGGACAGTAATGGACATCCGGGCTCAGATGCACCGTCCAAGTTCACTTTGTGTTCGCTATTGGAAAGAATTACGCTCAAGTGAGCTGATTGCACAAACAGTAGTGGCTGAATTAGTGAACGAAGTAGGAGCTAGCAGGGGCCAAGGTTTACCACGCTATATTTTTACGCTGCTTTCACCGCTGAGGCTAAACACATTCATCACTGATCTGAAGCCTGGTTTAGAAATAACAAAAAAGTGGAAGAGAAGAAAGATGGTGACAGAGTAGAATGACAGCACGTCAGAAGAAGAAACTGAAGTTAACTCGTGGGAGAACCGCACACCAAATGTATCGTATAGACAAAGCTCAGAATGCCATCTTTTAACACTACCTACACTCAGCACACACCGTGGTCTTTCGCTCATGAGCACAACTGCAGATTAGTTTAAAAAATCAGTGAAATCCAGTCCGCAAAAAAACAAATGTCAGTGATCGTTTGGAAATGAATCTCTCTGAGCGACAGTTTAAACTGTGCACATGATGACATACAAAAAACATATACTTCCAAGCCTTAATGCTTGGTTTTCCTTTAAAAAATTATAATTTCTCCCTCTTGTCTTCTGCATGAGGCCAAGTGACCGCTTCGCCGCACCTAAACATGGCTGACTTGGCCGTCCGGCCTGCATGCCCGCTTAATGCGATTAGAGCAATTTCCTTTTGATCTCAGTCTTCCGCTTTCATGCCAATTCATGCTCTTCCTCCGATTCTACCAACGACCCCCTGCTGCCACCTTCACTTCACCTCACCCTTCTGTGCAATCGCATTCTCCATTCCCATCACTGGCACAAAAGCTCCATAATGATAAAAGAGAGCCAGGCCAAGAGTGTTGAAACAGGTCTTATAACACAAGAGAATGCTGGTTTACTGTAAAGGTTTCCTCTCTGATACATGAGCACATACTGTTGATATTAGAGTTATTTCTTATCTTTACAGATTTATTATATTATATATATATATTATATTATATATATTTTTCCAGAAATGAGAGTGTGACATCTTTATATATACACTAATGTTAATGCAAAATAATTATTTGCTGTATGACAGCTGGCAATGGGCAGAGGTTGTGTGTCTGCCTTTGTATGACTTGTCTGCTGTGATTGAGGATGACGAGATTTCACTCACATGCGAATAATGTTCTTAACACTGAAGTTGTCCAGAGGGGCCGCGTCGGGGTCCTCTCCCTTGTCGTCCTGTAGGACTAACTGTTGAAGGATCCTGTCTAAGAGCTGCCAGTGCTGCAGGCTGCCACCGCCACGCTTGTCTGTGTGCGGAGTCGCAGACAGGAATGGTAAGGTGATGAGAATAAATTGATATCAGTTCAATATGCACATTCCAGAAAATTCATCTGGTAAAAGGCAAGAGAAACATCTCAGCATGCAGCTACTCACAGGGCATCTGCAGGCAGTGTTGGAGGATGGAGAGGAGGTTTGGGTAGGCGTCTGTGTGGCTCAGCTTCTTCTTAATTAGCTCAAACATGGCACCGGCACTCTTAGTATCTACATGCGTCTAATAAGAAAAAGGACCAGTCTTGAGTTATTATATGAAGTCTGACCATCAGTCTGCTTGACTATGGATAATTTGAGCCACACATCCCAAGAAGTACAGGCCCCAATATCAATTTTAATAGTATTGTAAAGCTGAAAAGTAATTCTAGGTTACTCACCATATCAAATCTTTTGGCCAACTCAGAGTCATCCTCATTCCGCACCATCTCAAAGAAGTCCAAATGCCTGGACAGAGAGAAATACTAGTGTGAGATTAAAGTATTTAACCCTAATGTTGTGTTTTGGATCCTGGAGAAACCAGGCCCTCTCTGACAACTTAATACATCTACAGAAAATAACACGTAACTTCTTGTTGGGTTCTCAGAGTCTCCAGTTGTAAAATATGAACACTAACAGAAATCCAAACAGTTTAACAGGGAGTCAGCCTCTCTGGGGTCTAACTCATTTGATAATCTGTGAATGACTTTTCGGCAAACAAAAGGAATATGTTTGCTTGTGCATAGCCCATATAACTTATATTTCCTGACTTGATGTAATAATAACAAAGTTGTATAGTAATTTTAGTAGTATTTAGTAATTTTGTCACCTTTATTAAGGGAAGAGGAAGATATTGAATTTTACTGAGATTAGAAGGAAATCAAATAAAAAATTACCGGAAAGAAAACTGTCGATTTTACATAAATAAATATATAAGACATTATTTTGATGATCTTTGGGAACCCAAACAATAAGGAAGTCAATCTCAACTAAACATAAGGGCGAAGTAATTTTCTGCTGGTCTTCCCTGAAGAATTATAACTGATGAGGATGATCATTAGTATTAGTTGATTGCTCATTAGGTCTTGCTCTCACCTATCCAGAGTGGCGTTCTCGTGCTCTCTGAGCTTGTCGATGACCGGCTGGATGCCTAACATCAGGAACTCGTACCTTAGGTGAAGCCGGAACTCAAGGTTGTCCTAAGAATAACAAATGAATCCACAAGTGGGATTAATGGGACATTATGTACCTCAAATGGGGAGATGGGTAATTAAATGTCTAGCTTGAGCCTCGGTATCTAAACCGATCTAAACTCATCAATCCCCACTATTTTAGTGCTTGCGAAATTACTGAAGGAAAGGAAGTTTGTGATTGACAATTATATTCCACAGAAAATGGAATAGCATGTGACCCTTGTCACAAAAGTGCTTCCCCATCAGAGAGAGAATACAATGTTCAAATATGAGGTTTCTAAAGGGAGGACTAACTATGGAACCAAGAAACAAGTATTTGTGGCTTTAATAAATTCTGACATGTGCACTCAGAATTTAAATTAGGGATTAGTGCACACATGCAATATCACCATCCAACCACCCCTTGAGAAATAAAACCCATTCAAATTGGGCTTTACATTTGAAGGAATATGTAAAGTAACAGACACTTTGGGAAATACACTTAATCGTTCTCTGGCGGTGCCTCTCACATGTCTCTACGGTACATATGAAGTTACAGCGAGCAGCCAGTGAGCTTAACTCAGTACAAAGACTGGATCAGTGGCAAAAGCTCCTACAGTAACCCAATCTGAATCTGTGTTAGTGAGCTTCAGAGATGCTTGTTGGTGGATCTTCTGGCCAGAGCTAGGCTAGCTTTTTCTCCTCCTTACCCCGAGTCTTTATGCTAAGCTAAGGTAAACCAGCTGCTGGCTGTACCTTCATACTGTAGGGCAGTATCACTCTTCTTATCTACCTCTCTGCCAAAACGCAAAAAAGCATTTTTTCCAAAAAATTTTGAAGATTTCGGTATTTGTACTCTAATCTAAATTTAAGCAGGTATAGAAAAAAAAATTGTGCTAACCTCCCCAGCTCCAGCGTTGAGCACAGCGTTGATGAAGGACATGATGGCGGTCTTTAAGTTGACCTCGTCTCTGTAGCGGCCTGTACTCTTGTCCAGCTCATTCAGCAGCGTCTGCATGTTCAGGATAGACAGGAAAGTTAGTCAGCAAGCGTGTTTGATCTAAAATATGTTTCAGCGCTGACAGCAACTCAGGGTCAGAGATAAAAGGAACACGACAAGAAAATCTTGATTTATCAAAACTGACACAACCTTGAAAAGAACCAGGTAACACAGGGCCAACTGTTCTCACTTCTCACACCCTTTGCTCCCCTCTTGCACTGTTCCCCGACATACTTCTGCAGCCTAATCATAACTCAAACAAACGTAAAAAGGCCTCATAAGTTTGGAATCACTCAGCTCCTGTGGTGTTAGCTTAGCCTGAGGTGGCATGATTTACCACACACCCCGGGGGGACGTGTGAGATGTGGCTTGTTGACTCAGTCCTGCTAGTCACTAAAGCACTACACATAATCTGACCTCCATAACTCTGGATGTCCTCGCCTGCCTTTAATATGGCCAGAGTGTTGATTTAACCTGAGGCCAACCGTCTGAGGTGCTGCAGCACGAGTCTCCAACTTATCAAAATGACCACAGCTTGATTTATTTGAGCATTACTCTGAAATATTTTGTCTGCCCTTTCCCATAATCTCTGTCTGCCTCATGACTCCCTTATGTTTGAGACACAACAACAATTCATGTAACGTGACAGCTGTTTGCACCTTTACACTGTTTCCCCTCACCTGAAAGCGAGTCCGCTCAGCAGCGTACTTCTGGTAGTGTGCCATGGCCTGCAGCACCTTCTTGTGTCCGTCCGGCACCAGGCACACCGCCCCGAGAATTTCCAGCACCGCCACTTTAGTCTTGATGTTCTCCGTCCGCAGGCTCTGTGAAATGGTGTTGATGCTCTGCGGGTGGGCCAGGACGTGTGCGCGGCCCTGGGAGTTGTTCATCAGGGCCTTGATGCAGCCAATGACGGAGGTGTGGACGCGGCTCTCTGACGTCTCGTAGTCCATGCTGCGCAGGAAGTTGAGGAGGCAGGTGAGGCCGTCGAGCTCGATGAAGCGTGTGACGAACCTGGACGAGGAGGGAAGGAGTACAAATTCAGAGCAAAGTCAAACATGATTAAGTAACAGAAATATACTGTAATGTAAATTAAAGATCCCCTACAGACATGTATTAAGACATATATAGACATATACATATATATAGTCTCCTTGGAACTATAATGTGTGTCTGATATGTTTTTTCTGTGTAGATTCCACACAATAAATTCTTAAGGTTCTGAACAGTGAAGCTAAAACATTCAACTGTAACTACAAACCAGCAGAAAAACATATTCTCAAGAGGAGGGGGACTAAAAATAATAAAATAATACACTTTGCTACTTGCTACAGTTTGTGAAGACTGTATGGCACTTAGGAAAAATGTCATTAACACCTTAAAGCATCTTTACATCCTGTTATATAATTTACAAGCTTTTGTTTTCCCACACAAAGTATTTATAAAAAGATATGCTACGGTGTCCTGATGGCCAATCATAAACAACTATGTTCCACTTTCATACGGTGTACAATTCCCAAAATATGATAAATAAAAACCTATGTTGCTCCAACATGAGAAACCTTTATTTCACTAATCAACAAAAAATGTAATTATTGTTCATCTTAAGGCAACAACAAATAAAGATAATCAGATAGTTTGTTCATTTTCAGAATAATAATTTTGTCCACAAAACAACAAGTTGTTATGTAATGCTCATCACAATATCCCACAGATGAAGGTGACATCTTCAGTTTGCTTGTTTGTCTGACCAACAGTCTAAAACCAAAAGTTGACAATAATAAAAAAAATAAAGTCTTCTCATTTGAAGGGCAGGAACTAGTTTGGCTTCTAAAATGACTCAAACTATTACTCATCAAATGTGTTACATTCATTCTAGGGCTGTCACAATAGCAGATTATTTTCACTACTTGATAATTATGGTCAAAAGAATTCACAATAACGGTATTGTTTTATCTATAGAAAAAATTATATCAGTCAAATACATTTCTAACTTTCATTGTATGTTGCTGTTTCTCTTTTGGCAAATGAATTTGACTCAATTGAAACCCATAGTCACCTACTATGTTGGAGTGTGAATCACAGAGCAGGAATGGAAATAAAATAATTTAAGAGGCGCTGGATTATTTACACAATATTATCATATGTGTATTATTAACAGGATTTAGTAATTAAAGACCAATGGTCAAAGTTTTTTAGTCCCTAGTATGGGTCAAGCCCTAAAAACACTACATCCTACATTTCCCACAGTGCAACCAATGGCATATTTTCATTAGACCCTCTCTTCCAGGGCATGCAGACACTCCCACATCTTTCAAACTTCACAACTTCAGTTTGTAAAGCAGGCTTTCTGTTATGGACTTTGCACAAGCAAAGATAACCCTTATGACGAGCTCCTCTTGAGTGAGCGAAACTGTGGGCTGTATTGTAAATGACCTTCCCACTCACTAAGATTCCTGATGGGCCTCATAAATGATTTCGAACAAATGAGGGCTTGTACGAGGAGTGAAAGAGGCAGAGGGAGAGGAGATGAAGAGAAGAGGACGGACACAGGGAGACAAAAGAAGGATGGAGTGAGAGAGTGGAGAGGACGGTGAGGAAAGAGGGAGAGGGTCTGAGAGTTGAGATTTATTGCGCTTCGTTGTAACAGATACATTGTTTTGATGTCAGAAGTTCCATCCCCTCCCACTGCTGTCTTGGCTCGGGCAGGCGTGGAAAAAACATGGCACAAAAAAAAATAATGTAAATCATCCAATTATTATCCTATACACTGAGGCCATGGCTCTTCTCCTGCTCACACACGATCAGCCACAGATTTATAGCAGATGCACACATAACACACACTCACACACACATACACACACTTTACCTGGCATGACCAGTAAATCTCTCAAAGAAGTATAATCCTCTGATCTCCAGCAGCGCCTGGATGAGATCAAGAGGGCCATACTACATGCATGCATGCATACAGTCAACCCTCCTTAAAAATGTACTGAGAACACACACACAAGCTTTCAGCAGACATGTGCTTCTTGTTTCATCGCAGACGCCGCAATCTCGGCCTCCTCTCAACACCGAGGTGGCGAAAAATAAATCCAATATATTAGATACGACTTGATTCAGATGTAACACAGACACTGGAACTAGAGCAAGGCAGAACTGATCCAACTGTTAGAGTTACACATCTTATATCAGTGACAAGTCTTTGGCCAGCAGAGAAGGCAGCAATATCCATACCATAGGTCTGTCCCATGAATTGCGGGGGCCACCTCAGAGGGTTCATACTGGAAGAGAAATTAAGCTGAACATCTTTGTAATTAATGTATGGAAAGCGGCGGGCGAGAGATGTTGTTCTTGGAGCCCGGGTTCAAAAAGGTGGACGGGATTCAAGGCTTCGCTCGCTGCCTGCTTCGCCTCGCTCTGCTGGTTAGCCGACAGCTTGCCAGAAACGCATCCTATGCACCACAACCCTATGCAAGTGCATGTGCTTGTACAGGAAGTAGGAGGACAGATGAATGGAAGTAAAAACACATATGGATGGCTCCTCAAAGGGTATTCAAGGGAGACTAATCTGCTGTACTGTACTGTTAACAGATCCTTCTAGTAAGCCAACAGCCAACTATTCTCTCTCCTCCTCCACCATCTTTCATTATCTTTACAGTGAACACTCGAATCAATGGATCCCATCTCCTCTGACTTTGGAGTCTCCTCGTCTTCTCCTATCCGCTGACATTCACAGCCGAGTGGCGTGCAGGCCTTTTTCTTTGTTCTTTTTTCTTTTTTTTTTTTTTGGAACAACCACTGCATACTTGAAAAGCCGCTGGGGTTGCGTTTAAGAGAGCGAGAGCTGCTGCATACAATATGAGCAGCTCAGGCAGAGCTGAACAATACGGAGGCCGAGCCAACCACACGCACACACACATTAAGTTCTTCAGGCAGACAAAAGAAAGAAGCGAGGAACGTAACTTGGAATTGGACGAGACTAAACAAAAGCGACAGTGGAGCGAAAAAATGACTGCAGTGTGTGTTGAGTCGAGGCCAGAGATGGTCAAATTTAATGTTAGGTTTGCTCGCTTTTGATCGAAATTTAAACAAAACCCAGAGAATCCATTTAGGGTCATATAATTTCCATTGATCTAAAAAGCGTAAAAACCCCTCAACCAGAGGCAGACAATATTGTAAATGAGCAGGACAGCGCAGGAAACTAATCCAGATGCTGAAATTTCAAATCAGACATTCATTCCAACCAACTGGACTTTTTCGAGGTTTGCTGCGCAGGCAAAACAATCTTTGAACTGTGGGTGACCCTGTGTGTGGCAGACAGTCGGTCGAGAGTTCATTCTTGCCTCAAAGCCTAACCATAAAAACGTATCACACACTCATGCAATCATGTGCTCTCTGCCTCTCTTGCGCCCTTCATTTAATCACCACGTTCGCACACACTCTATCATCTCTTTTAAACGTCCACTCACCTACGTTCAGACAGGACACACACACAGTCTTGCTCTGCTATAAAAGGGCTCGAGTGAGGACAAGGGCCCCGGGAGGTTCTTTAGAGGTGCTGCTTTAAACTAGTTGACCGAGGTGTCGGCAGCGCTTGGAAGAGAAGTCATATGATATCACCACGGCTCTCACTCAAATAAATGTTACTTGATGTGAGGCCCAGCATATACGTGTGGTAAAATAAGAGCTGAACAAAGGGCAACACACATAAAGCTGACACACATACGCACACACATACACAGATCACAATAAAACCCCTGGCCAAGGTGAACATCTGTGAGGTGTATATCATGGCATGGAGGGAATGGCTCTTATGGACTCGGTTTATTGTTAATTCTACACGGAGAGGACTATGTCTGTGTATGTGTGTGAGAGACTTAGACCGAAGTGGGCCATGTTTCCACAGTGGCTCCTGTGACTGGTTTAAAAAGCCACAGGGTGGAAGTAATGAATTACATTTACTCCTGTTACTGCGACAAAGACGTTTTATTGTGTACCGTCATTTTTTAAATTTTTATCTCAAGTATTGTACTTCAAGTAACGTCCTGACAAGCCAAATGAGCAGCTGAAACAGAGAAGATCCAGAGGGGAGACACAATTAAGGATGGAATCATAATGGGTTATGATTAATGTTACCATTATTGTTTCTGGGCATAGGTTAAAAAAACGGTTGCATCCAGTGATGGAGTAAGTACTCAGATCTTCCACCCAAGTAAAAGTAATAATACCACAGTGTGGCAACCAATAAGCCAATAAAAGTCCTGCATTCATTATGCACTCATTATGCAGAATGGCCCATTTCAGAATAGTATAATATTAGATTATAATTACTTATCACTGAGCATACATAATGTTGCAGCTTGGGGTTATTTTAACTACTTCACTGCTGGGTAGATGTATTGGTTAATCATGTTTTGTATTAATAATCTAAACCTGCAAAGTAACTACTCATATAGATGTCATGAAGTAAAAAGTTTAATATATCTTGAAAGAAGAAATGTAGCGGAGTAGCAGTAGCCATTAGCAGCAAATGTAAATACTCAAGTACATGAGTAAATGTACATCATTACCTTAATTAATTATCAACCTTAATTAATCACAATCACAGCTTTGATGCACCACCTGAGGAGCATGCTAAGTGACCCAAAAAAAAAAAAGCCGCTGTGTATTGTTGATACATCTGTGTTTTCTGCCTTGGTAATGCTTTATTCTGCCGTTTATTCAATGAGAAGTGGCAGATTATTTTATTTACGTATGCTTGTTGCACATTTCAGTGTCTTATTGTCATTGCTGTTCCATTTCTGTTAGCATGACGTAGCTCAGCTAGTGTATAGGCTGACATGTTAATGCATTTATTGTAGCTTAAAGGCATTTTTATTGAATATTTTTATTAAATATTCTAGCACTTTCCACTTTCCCTGGCCTTAGTACACATAATTTGAACAACCAAAACTAAGGACACACGTTTCACTTCCATCTAACTGTGTTCTATGTATGTATGTATATGGTTT